ACTCTTTCTCTCTCTGTCTCGAATCGTGGCAGTACACTTTAATTATATAGACTCGTGCATTTCTTCACGCGCAACTTTCATTTGGCGGAACGTTGGATTCCGCGAAGCGTTTTACTTTTCCCCCATTGATAACGGGCTAGGTTAGGCTAGAAGACATGTTATATGTTACAGAGCCTAACGCTCTGTTTAGCCAGTCGAGTTGCAACTTTCAAGGCAGCAAGCCGTAGCTGCAGTGACGGTCGTCGAGATTTCATATGTGTCACGAAACTCAAAGTATCACTCGGCGCCCAAGTGTATACAATCGATACAATTGATTGAGACCAGTGTCGTCTTCAGAAACGCTTTTTCTCGCGCATGTGCAGCATAATGAAGTTCAGGGATGATGCATGCAGTGAATAAGCGCGAAAATCTTAATATTTTTAATGCTGTTGATACATAATATAAAACATACCGCAAATCTAAAAAAAAATTTGCACTCCAATATATATTTTGATGCATATTTTTTTTAAATTAATTTTCACAGCATTTTCAAATAGTTTCCAGGAATAAAGGGTCGAAGGCGTCCTTTTTCCTACGAATTTGGTACTTCAATGAAACCGCGTTCAATGCGCATGCGTGAAGGAATGCGCCTCTTACAATGAGAACAACATTGCTTTATACGTCTCGTGAAACTCGGAATGTCATTCGGCGCGCAAGTGATGCAATCTATTGAGATGCATAATTTCGTGACAACGGAGATACAATCGGATACAAAAGTGCGACTCGCATCAGTGAAACTTCGCTGAGGACACGGCGACAAAAATTGTCCACGTGTCACGGTGTGATAATTGAACGAGATTAATCCCCAAGCGAAACATACAAGGTACAAACTGCTTAGCCAAAAATTTACATGCATATCGTATATCGAACTAAAATACGCGTAAATTCGTCGAATAGCGTGAGTATATGCGAGAATTAAAATAACGACGCAATTATGCAACCGACCTTCGGCGTCTAGTATTTAGTTTGAACGACTAACGTTTCTGACGTCACTTCATGAGTCGATTACCTACGCACGAAAAACTCTTATGATAAACTTAATTTAAAGTAAAATTGAAAATTCCCTATTATTGACATAATATTAATTAGTTAATTAGCTGTAATGAACTTGTATAAAACATATCGCGTAATTTATCAATGTTAACGCAATTTCTCAAAAACCTGCGTGCTACGAAAGCCGTGACCTCAAATTGCCGGCACGGAACCTCCTATATCTATGTCTATGACGTAATGTCCATGAAAAAATGATAACGATGGTTTAGTCATGCTTCCAAAATTAACGTTCAATCGATCAAGTTTAATCATGATTAATGATAATAAATTTAATATCATTTATGAATTTTGCTAGAAGCAGAGGAATACATATATGTACAAATTTTTACAAGCCTTATTTATTTTTAATGAATTAATTATAGTTCCAAAGAGTATAAATCTAATATTCCTCGAGCAATTTTATTTTAGAAACCTTATCAATTGCAATCGTTAACTTTTGTGATAATTGCGATAATATTATTGAAACAGGAAATATGAAGTTAATGATACAAAAAATTACAATGTTATACAATCGCACCATTAACATATACATTTAATTTGAAACCATTATTTGATACGAGATAATCATCTTATGCAATACATATACACAATATAATATTAGAATACAATAAATTTATATTAGACTTTTTTTTGTTAAACAAACTAATAACCACAAATTAAAAATATAGTTTCATTGTACAATAGTTCGTACATATAATAAGTCTGACATTTTTCTCAATTTCGTTATTATTTATCTTCAAGTCTTTAGCATTATTTTTAACTGTCACATGATAAATAATTAATATAGCTGATGTAGCATCAACAACTAAAAGCGTGCTAAATAAAAATTTATTCAAAAAATAATTATATTGTTGTAGTTATAATGCTCGTAATTTCTAGTTTATTTGTAATCATAGTAAATTAACATGAAGTTTTCTATGTTTAATCACAATCCTGCTAAATAATTATAATATAAAATTATTGGACCTAATATCTGAATTATTAAAACAACTATCTAGATATTTGCTCCAAGAAAAATATCATTGAATGATCTATGCATGTTTATTGGCAGCCCGTGATGTAGACTTTAATTGAAGCAACAGCATTTTTTTCCTTGTACATTGATCCTACTTAACCCCCTCCGATTTGATGCAATCATTAATATTGTCAATTAGGATTAAAGATTTCAATTGTATATTTGTTTACAATATTAACTAACCAATTGCATATTGAATATTACAATACATATAATCACATTCGTACGAACAATAATAAAACTCATATAATGCAAATATTTATCTCTCTTAAGCAGAGGCAAACTAATTAATTCCGATTAAGATATCTAATATTTAACAAACTATACCTATATTCTTTATATCGTATTTTTTTAACGATCTTATTATATATATATATACATACACACACACACACACACACACACACAATTTCATATCACAAATTCAATTCAACAATTTGTTTATCTGTCCTTCGCTTTCCATTGCTAATTAGTTAAGTGTTATTTAAATAGTTTTTAAGGATTCTATAACTATCTTATATGCCCATTTAAAACGTTATTTACCGCACGCAACGCAGCTTATGACGAGAGATTAAAAGACACGCTCTATGCTATAGGTAGACAAAAAGATAATTCATGCTGAGTAGATATCATAAGAGATTTTTAATCAAACGAAACCTCATATTTACGTTTCCTTCTCTCCCCCTCTTCTCTTTTCTTCTACAGACATCGTACTTGCATACAGACAAATTAAGCAGATAGAATATCTATTTCGAAAGAACATCAAACGATTTTACGATCTTTTGAAAGAACTCGATTATTCATCCATGAAAATTTCTCCTGTTTCATCGAGCGCTTTCATCTCAAGTCGTTGCGAATTAATCGTCCATCTTTCAACACTGCTTGCATCTAATATTTCCTTGAAGCTTAAATAGCCTTCAATATTTACGATTTTATTGTATTGCTTGCTCCCTCTCTCTCTCTCTCTCTCTCTCGCGCGCGCGCGCGTATGTACAATATATTTTTAATTTTAATTATATATTTTATTAGTATGATTGTTATAATTCTAATTTAAGAAAGCTACTTTTATAGAATAAATTTTTTTTTATTTTATATTTGTTTTAATAAAACTGAATATATCAAAAGATAATTTATTCAATTATAATTACATTTATTATATTATAAATATATAAATCAATATATATTTTCTGATTTTTTTATGTAGATACTGTGCAAAGTTGAAAGAAAATTTTCTCGGACTTCGATGAATTATGCCAGAATTGTCAATTGGAGCTGAATGTGAACTAATATCTTTTTATACAAAGATATATGAAGCGATTTGTTAAAAGTAGAAGAGCCAAGAAACGCTTTTCTATAATTGCAATTTTTTGAAGACTTTGCAATACATTTCAATGAAAGGAATTTATTCAATTAAATATAAAATGGTGCCTAGATGTAAATAGACGCACGGAACACACGATCCGCATTTTATGATTATTAATTAATATAAGTACAAGGGAACAGCATTAAATGTGATAGTCAACTAATTACCTTGTCAGGTCTCACAATTTAAAGTCGAATAAATACTTCTCAGAATATTTTAATATAATTCTTGTGGACTATTTGTAATAAAATGTTATAATTGTATGTGCGAGATCAAACATTGAGAGATATGAAATCATCCTCGCGCAATGTGCTTTGTTATGACACGACGTGAGTAATATTTTATGACACGTCTTTTCGAGACGGCACTAAATCTAAGTTGTTAAACGAAAAAGTTTTCCTTCTGCAACTTGTCTTCAGTTCTGTATGGAGAACACAAACGTATCTGCAATATTTCTTTAAGCCGTATCTATCTTGCCACAAAAAAAAGAATTTCTTTCATGATCTTGGCCGATTTTTTATAATCTTCTTTATTACGAACGATGCTTAAAAATTATTTTAACAAAGCTTTTTGCCGTTACATAAACAATAAATAATAAATCCTGACTATATTAAACGTTAATATTAAACAAGATTAAATAAATTATATTAAGATATTTAATACCATGCCAAGTTTATATTTGGCATTACTTTGCGTTATCGCAAAGATTTATGAGTTGAATATGATATGGTAATGGTGACGATAATACGTCTTGAATATCGAGACGATAATACGTCTTGATATCAAGACAATAAAATGCAAAGATAGCACAGAGTATCAAATACGACGACTTCGGCATTTAATGCTACACGAAATGCGGATAACACATTTTTGGCGAAGTGTCACTAAAACAATGAACAAAAAATCGTATTTCTTCGTCATGATCATTGTATCAGTCTTGATAGTCTGCTTCTACTTCTTAGCCTTTAATGGCAACTTCAAAATTCAGGACGTATTTCTCAAAACATATATAGTTCCTGAAGAAGATACGGACAAATTCATCAAGGCAGAGAAATATAGAAAAGAAGGCATAAAAACTATTCTTTTGTGGAATACGATGTTCGGTAGAAAAGACTTTTATTTCGGAGAAGGTGATATTTTTCGCAATTGTCCCATCAATAAATGCAAGATCTTTAACAAACGAGACTATTTGAATATCGAAGATTATGACGCCATCCTTTTTCACGGAAACGAACTGGATGAATATGAATTGCCATTGAAGAGGGAGATGAAACAATTTTATGTATATGTTAACTTGGAAAGTCCAGCTAATAGAGCGATACCTTACAAGTACTGCGAGGACTACTTCAATCTCACGATGACATATCGTCTCGACAGTGACATACCGTGGACTTATGACATAATAGAGGATGTAAAAAGTGGCAAATTTCTCGCACCTTCAAGGGACGTTGATTGGAGCGCTTCTCGAAATTATACAAGTAATATAGTCTCATATAACTTCGTGTACTATATCTTTTTTCATTCATTGCTATCTTGCAATAAATAAGATTTTTCTAGATTAAATATTATTTATAAATGTTGATCACAATATATAGAAATTTTATTTAGTCATTAGTTTTAAACTTTTGTATTAAAATATTTTAAAACAAAATGAATATGACCTCGAGAATATTATTCGCTTGTGATCTTTACATTCTTCATTACTTGTACATATCTTTTATTAGACGTAAACTCTAGTTTACGAAAATTTTCAATCTAAATTTACGAATATTACAATGATAAATCCTGTGATGATGTGTCTCCTCACTAAACTACATACATCGAGTACACGGGAACTAATCAGATTTTCGCAGGTGTAGAGAAAGCGGTAGACGAGATGCCGTCCGCGATATTGGACATCGTCAGGGATAAAAGCAAACTGGTAACTTGGTTTGTAAGCAATTGCTACGCCAAAAGTGGCCGGATGGAGTACGTGCAGGAGTTGTCGAAGCACATAGGCGTCGACATCTACGGCAGATGCGGTACATTTAGTTGCAACAGAAGCAGGGACTGTTTTGGCGACGTAATCGAGCCCAACTACTTTTTCTACCTGTCCTTCGAGAATTCCTTCTGCGACGATTACGTGACGGAGAAGCTGATGAACCCGCTCAGGTAATGACGCAGCTTCGGAATCGCGAGGGATCGTTATCCGCAACCAGAACGCGAAAACAAAGCTAATTTAACTGATATCTAAATGAATGAGCATTTTCCCTGATGACCTACGAGTTATCGCAAAGCAAATTAGAGAATACAAGATTGAGAGATGTAGAAATATTTTATTTTTTATAGTCTCTAGAGTCAATTCTACCAATTATTTAAATACGTCTTTTTACATATAAATAGAAGCAATTAAAAGATGTTTTCATTTAGAGAATTCGTTCTCGCAAACAAAACTTTGTCTTTTTTTAATTGTTGCCACTTCTCGAACCGTCCTTTACATTGCAAGCATTACCGATGTTCCCTTGAAAAAAAAAATTGTTGCAATAGATGTATCAATGTTTAAATGAGAAAGTGTATATATGTTATATGAGGATTTATTTTTCAAGTATTATATTATTCATATGTAATAAAGTATGTACAACCTATTCAAATCATGCATAGATCGGCTGCCGTGTTAAATATTAATGTAAATGTAACGAGCATAAAGATGATCAAAATTCCGCGATTGTTTGAAATTGAAATATTATCGGCGCGATTATAAAATCGATGCGACGAAGCGTCAATAATTGAATTAAATTTGTCAGATTTGCAAAGTAAAATGATAGCACTACATATCGCGCGTTTTTTTTTTTCATTTTTATTTATACGAGTTGCTCGAGGTAACATTCGATACACAATGCGGAACATTGGTTCGCTAATTATTAAATATGTCCGTATATTATTCAATATTACAAATAATCAAATTTTACGAGCACACATAACCGATATCTGATAAGATATCTTTCAATAGTCATATATGATCTGTCATTGTAATTTAAATCAAGAATGGATACTTATTACATGTGCAATCAAAGTCGACAAATTACAAGCGTATATATATATATTTTTTTTTATAATGTTTCAAAGATATATATCTGCAATTAATCTTTCATTTTTCAATTATTATTTGTTCATAAATTTAGTAATTTATCTAGTTTACTTTAGCAACATTTATGTTAATACTTAACTCGTATTTAAATTATATGTGAATTTGTAGATATAAATTATCCAAATTTATTAGTCGATTTAAGAAAAAATACAAATTTCAATTATTTCTCTCTTTTAAAATCACGATCTCATATGATTCTCCATAGATTATAATTATTGAATTTCATATTATAGAACTATGGAAATTTTTAATAAAGCGCAAAGATATAAATAGAAAAATACTATAATGGAAAGATATTTGATATATATATATCAAAATTTCTAATTATTATTCTTATTATTCTGTATTCATTTCTACTGAATATAGAAAACTTTTTTTTTGTATTGTTCATTTCAATTTTATTTGTTTCATTAGTTTGTTCACCGTATTTTTCTTTTTTCGTTCATAGCTTTGTAGGTGGAATGACCGAAATTGCAAGAAAATATTATCAACCAATAATAGGATTCCCTTATCAATATTCTTGCAGGTATAATATCATCCCGGTAGTTTACGGAGGCGCCAACTATAGTCAGTTCGCACCACCGAATTCCTACGTGAATGCCTTGGACTTCGAGAGTCCAAAGGAACTCGCCACGTACTTGAAATATCTCTCTCAAGATCTGCGACGATATCAAAGTTTCCTAGAATGGAAGAAATATTATCGAGTCAAAAATGCAACGAAACGGGCCGTTTGTACTCTTTGCGAGGTGTTGCATAAACAGAAAGAGCCGAAAATATATTCGCCCTTATCGGATTGGTACGCGAAAGATAAATGTCCTATTCAAACGTATTTAAATGACAATAATAAATACGCGACAAAAATTACATTAATGAATCGTAAATAGAATTAAGTCCTACAACTGGAACACAGAAATTAATAATGTGTCTATATGAAATGTTATAGAGCATCCTGGGGTCAATCAAATAATGAATTGACACGTTTATTTATTTATGTAAATAGTAATTGCTATTGTATTTTCAATCCGTAGCTATTTTGATCGTAACTTTTACATTATTGAAGAGAATCGAATCTTGATATACGAGGGTTATTCGAAAATCAACCTACGGTAGACTTGCAAAAAAAATATTTTATTATACACAAAATACATATATACACTTATGTAAATAGTTATTTATGTAAATACTATTGTATTTTCAATCCGTAGCTATTTTGATCGTAACTTTTACATTATTGAAGAGAATCGAATCTTGATATACGAGGGTTATTCGAAAATCAACCTACGGTAGACTTGCAAAAAAAATATTTTATTATACACAAAATACATATATACACTATTTTTTGACATAATCGCCATTCAAATTGAGACTCTTCTCATAGCATGGCACAAATTTTTGTATGCCCTCATCAAAGTACGGTACCGCCAAATTGGAATCTCAATCAACTCCTGCTCATCAGCTCTTCGTTGCCCTCGAATCGCTTCGTAGCAACTCTCACGCGTGCGAACAGATGAAAGTCATTCGTTGCAAGGTCCGGGTTATAGGGTCGGTGATCGAACTTCCATTGCACTACTCCAGAAGTTCCGATGAGGGTTTTTCGATCACCTTACACCGAGTGACTTTCATCTATTCACATGCATGAAAGTGTGGCTAGGAACGCAGCGATTCGAGGGCAACGAGAAGCTGATGAGCAGTGCTAGGAGTTGGCTGAGATTCCAGTTTGGCGGCACTGTACTTTGATGAGGGCATACCAAAGCTTGTGCCACGCTACGACAAGTACCTCAATTCGAATGGCGATTATGGCAGAAAATAGTGTATATATGTAAGTAACTTTTATAATAAAATGTGTTTTTTCTGTTTTTTGTTTTATTTTGCAAACCTATCATAGGTCGATTCCCGAATAGCCCTCGTATGTAAAAATATATTTTTCGAATTGAATATAATTTTATAAAAATATATCAACGTCATTCAATTCATCTTATTTGCGAAAATATGATCAATTCTCCGATTATTTGAACATTTCTAAGATTACGTAACAGAATAATTGATGATGTAACTTTGACGTCTGATTTATGCATCGATGATGGCTCATTAGACCGAGGATATGTATTAGATCGATATATTCACTACTCGCTTGATTAATCAAGATCAAAGCAGCCAAGCTCCAACGCCCTAACACTGCTATACTACAAGAGTTTGAGGGAAGCAGGTGTGCGATCACTTGATGTCCATAAAGGGAAACAGCTAACAAAGATTGCGCACGTTAATGAAATCTTATAATAAACTGAATGAAACTAATGTTGCGCATATTTGTACAAAAAAAGACTGACATTAGTCCTGATATCAAAATATCGGATTAATACAAATAAATAACAATTGTCGTATCTTTCTTAATATCATTTAATATTCCTAAACGGATAATGAATATAACATTAATATATTATAATTTATAATGCAATATTTGCCCTTTTAGATATTAATTAATAAACAAAATTAAATGCTACAGCAAATTAGAAGAAAATATGAAGTTTGCTAGCGTTATTTATTCTAATTGTTAATTTATTCCAGTTATTATAATTATCATTTATTTTATATATGTTGAAAAGACATACATGTGTCTAATAAGTACATCGAAATAGCGTAAATCTGATATTAAGGGACCATTGTGTTCGCATATTTACATATACGAATAAAAAATCAAATCTATCTATTAGCAGTCTATTATCTATTAATAGTCTATCTATTATAATCAGTCCATGCCTATTGTCTATAGTCTATGTCTATGTCAAATGTCTAGTAATATAATAGTTTGTAATTTAAAGCATAAAATTTAACTTTTCGGCCATTTTTATATTTGATATCATCTAGATATTTAGATGTAGCTTTACCTTATCAAATACTAAAATTTATATAGAACAATTTAATTATCTATATTTATTGCAAACTTTATATGCGCGTAAAAAATGTATGTTTTTCGTATTTTTCTACTGCTTCTTCTACTTTTAAACATATTCTAATTGTCTTCTTAAAAAACTGACGCACAGATTAAAATTACAAAAAAAAAAAATTAATTATTAATGTTAATAAATTAGTACAAATAGAAAATAAGTATAATGTAAAAAATTGTGAATTTTTTTATACGCTTTTATACTGCTTTTTGTACGTAAAATGTTGCTTATTTCATACATAGTGTTCAGTACAAACAAGATAGATTATCGAATCATACAAAAAGTGATCACATTTGTAATGCAAATAATGCAAATTGTTTATAATTGCTAATTTTTGTAAATGTTGAAACTAATCTACAGTTATTGTCTATAATAATAGTATTAATATTTTTTTTTTCATATATTTCTCTCGTATAATTTGGGAGAAAGAGACACTACTAATATTATTATTACAGAAAATGTCTGAATTGAGAGAAAACCTTAATTAAATCTTCATTTACTATATACCATTTTTGTAAATTGATATACACACTAAAACTCCTCGCAAACCGGAATTATAGTTTTTTAAGTTATTAATGCTGTGTGTTTGGCTTTCCCATTAATTATTTAATAGTGCTTTTTAATGTAAATAAATTGTACATGAATTATGTTACAACATATATACGTGTATAAACATATATACTTTTCCTTTTTCTGAGCTTGTGTCGCGGTCATTATTTTATTTTGCATTTTATGAAAATAAAGAATTCTATTCTGCCGTTTTACAGCAAAATTAAAGACAAATTTTAAATAGCAATTCTTGACTTATTGATCATAATGGTCATAAATATCTTGATTGTTTACTTGACACAGTATGAAAGATGGTTCGTTTGCACTCCGAAGAAGGAAAAACTTTACTGAGAAATAACGAGATTAAATAAGCTCACTTCTGCTTCTCGAGTTTCTTTTTCAAACCGTGATGAAGAAAGCTTCTATTCTCTCGTATCAGTTTCTGTCTTCATGTATAGCGCTCTATTAAATTGCAATCTATTATGTCCCATATCATTCTTATGTCATAGTTACATTGACATAAAAATATATTGTACGTTACTCTGAAGTTTTAACAGCTTTTGTTGACAGACATTTTGTATGAAACTAAATGACAAAAATCCTTGCATTATTATCAAAATTTTCAATGTTGAAATGTATTTTATATAGAAAAATATATTTTAAATAAAAAATTTGCAGATATGAAGAAATACACGTCATTTATTTTCACATCACTTCTCATTATTATTTAATATAAAAAAACATTTTAATTATTATGTGCAAATTAATACATATAGCTGTCTTATAAATTAATATTTTTCTTATGTATGATATGCATTACTTACAATGTTCATTGTGTGCACTTTTTAAATGCGAGAGAATATGACATTTTGCATATAAACTTGCGAATATCTAATTTATACATTTATATTATAAATTAAAGAGCGAAAGAGAAAATAAGAAGAGAGAGAATGTTCTTCATAAAATCAGGTCAACAAATACCTCCCGGCGAGTTATCCCAGGACTTGTGGGACTCTTAACGAAGGAAACTTTACTTCCTTTGTACGCCTCCTCTGCCCGCACGATAAGCAATCGAATCGCAATAAACTGGACCAAAAGATATTGAAGTTACCGGGGGATAGATATTACCAATAGTTGTGTTAAACTTACGATAATCACAAAAGTGCTACGTACAAATACATCGCTCGTCGCTCTCGCTAGTCGGTTACTTACTATGGCACGAGTTCGCATCGTAAAAGTACTACCTAAGTACAACTTCGAGAGCATCGAACAACCATTCTGATAGGTTATAACAACTTCAAAGTCTCTTCTCAAAGTTCATCGCGGCTGCAATTTCTTGTCACAAGTGCCGTAAGCTCGTAGTCTCTTTCCCCCTTTCTCTCTCTTTCTCTCTCTCGCGCGCACACGCCATATATTTATTGAAAGTATGATGATCTTTATCGGATCACGTTAGTGGTACAACGATCGAACTTTGCCCGAGTCAGAGATTGAAACCGATAGAATTTTGGTGTAAATTCAAAGTTCAATGCTTACAGAATGATTTGTACATTTATTCGTGGCGATAAAAATCCGACACGCTCAATGTAAGATACATTTTTCGATATTAATTATAACATCCAAACACATGACAAAATTATATAATATAGCGATTTTAATATCTCGTTTACGCGATTTACGTATGTATTAGAAATCACAAGGAGATGATTATTTCATTTTCTCTCCTCTTGTGATGCGCACAATAGTAGTGATTGATTGATTATATGCAAACTTCGCCGCTTGTAATGCACATCGTACGGCTATTATACGCGCGGCGTAATATCTGAATGGGAAAATAGGAATGGCATATTAGTTATGTCGGGCCATAAAGTATGCATCAATGATCAAACATATAGAATAATTACAGAAATGTTGTTTGATGTCCGATATTTCGCTTATTAAAAGCTTTGGAGCAAGCTGCGCGAAATGCAGACTAAAAAACAGGATTCGAATTCGATATTGACATATACGGTTTTGCATACAATAAGTGCACAAAATATCAAATCCTGTTTCTCATCGTATATTTCTGGTCTTCTTCTAAAATAATCGTCTTTATTATATAAACGAACTTATCTTTTCAATTCACCGCGACACGCAAATATATGGATTATTATACTTCCTGTCATCATATATGTTTCTTCATATCCGTTAGTTCGAGAACAATATGATAAGATAATACATATCTCTCAATACAGATAGACATTTTAATTATTCGGTGGATATTATAGTTTCTCACATTTCGAATCATGTGCATTAAAAAATTTTTCTTTCCTCCTATCATTTTCGCAAATAATCTGTTTGCTCAGAGATATTGTTATATTTTCATTTGTACTAATGAGGTTTTTAAATTTTTATAAATACCACGAATTTATAAACATAAAATCATCAATTTGTAATAAAAAAATTCAGCCAATAGAATATTAATGCATAATCTGAATCTTGCTTTGTCATTTGGAATGAAAAGTATGTAAATGGAAAAAGTATTATAAATGAGCATCGGATAATTATTATACAAATCTCGGATGCGACCATCAAATTTATTTACGTCAATATGTTACGGGATAAAATGGTAGCAATTAAGTGATGCAGCCGCAATAATTATGGATTGTGTTCACT